GTTCCAGGCCAGGCTGGACAGGGCTTGGAGCAACCTAGACTTCTGGAAGGTGTCCCGGGCCATGGCAGGGGGTGGGGTGAGATGAGCTTTAAGGTCCCTTCCAACCCAACCACTCTGTGATTCCATGGCAGCCACCCAGATGCAGCCACTACTGACCCAGCAGCACACACACACCAGCAAGGGGTCTAAGCTTTGATGGTCTGTTTTACAGCAAAAAACATCTGATGACAAATCAAGAAGGAGCAGTTTATAAGAAAATGGAAGGTTTGTTGGCAAAGAGTTGGGAAACCACTGAAAAGCTGCAACTGCAATCCATGCAGTAAGTTGGGAACATTCTCCTTAGCTTTTGTTTTCCCACCTACACAATACCCCCTGGAGAAGCACAAGGGTTAGCAAGTACCACAACAAACACATGGATGAGCCTAAACACAAACTGCTGGGTGTTTCCTATGAAAAACAACTGTCCCAGCATAAATAGGATTAAAAAAAGTTATAAGAATATTCAGTCTTTACCTTTCCACTCCTGCCATTACCTGCTCAATTACCCAGGGCAGGTTTCATGCCATGGGATGCCTATTACATCATTGGAACTGACTGTGGGGAATATTTTTGAGGAAGAGACACCTCAAGCTAAAGCAGAATGGTGCAAAACGTGATGAAAAGGTACTCAGCACCACCAGCCAGAAGCTTGTGCCAAATAACAGAAAGATCTGAACTGATTTCAAAGGGGTTTGAATTTCCTCTTTTGAGCAACATCCTCATTAAAGCAACATTTACCCTGGGGCATTTAACGGGATTTACTTGGCTATTGCTGTCTGGGTGACTGTAATTCTGGGCTGTTGTGCTGTGACACAAGAAATTAGGTATTTCAGCTTGTGGAGGTTGTGGGGCAATGGGGCAGTGCTGGCCTGGCACAGGGAGGGTGTCCCACACCACCAGAACTTCTCCTGTGCAGGGCTATTCCCTTTCTTATGACTTGTATGAGTCCACTGCAAAGTGCTCCCCCCTCTTCAGCTATGCATTTGGGGAGATCCCATCAATTAAAGGTGGAAAAACCCCAGGCACTATTGTCCTGACTCCTAAGGAAGAGCATTCCAAGCAGCAGTGCAAGTGCAGAGGGAATGCCATAGGAAAATGCTTGGCAAATGACATTTAATGCAGCTGATTGGCATCAGTACCCCAGTAAGTCAAAACTCCTTTGCTCTATCTGCTTCTCCAAGAGTTTTTCCCCTATCTGCATCATGTGTGAGGCTCTGCTTGCTCATGTGTTCTCCCAGCCCTGCTCAGCTGGGAATGTTTAGAGCCCACAGCTCTGCTGGTATCAATCTTGTCTGGATGGAAAGATAAAAGACTCCAAGATATCACATTCCTGCCTGGTTTATGAAGGCTGTGGCACAGACTGCTGTTACTGTGGGCATGGGGGAGTGGGTGGGTGGGTGGAAACACATAGGACAAATCCAGAGAAAACTACATTCCATTATTTCTCTTGTTCATGGCAAAACTACATTGTCTTGGAGAAAGAGTTAACTCAGATCCTTGTTTTAGCCTGAAGTAAAACCTTCCCTAATTAGCCTTTTAAGGCATGGGCTATTTCCATAACCCAGATAGCACCAGGGCTGTTTCCTACCCTGACTCTGAGTGGATGTTGCTGCATTCTCCACCTGGTTTCTCCCCATGGATGCTCCAGAGCCACAGCTGGCACTGCCATTACCACTGCAAGAACCATCAAGATTTCCATGCTCACGTATTTGCTTTCACTAGAACCTCACTGCCACAAGAAGCTCTTCTCCAGGCACTTCCATTCCCACCGGGCACCCTTCTCTACCCATCCAACAGCTCCCACCACCTCCTCCAGCACCCACAGACCCCCAGGAGTCTGTGATCCCACCATGGCTATGGACAGAGAAACCAGCACCACCATTCTCTACCCACCCAAGAGCTCTCACCACCTCCTCCAGCACCCTCAGGAGCCTGTGATCCCACCATGGCCATGGCCCAGCCATGGTCCATAGCCATAAACCAGCACCTCCCATCAGTCTGTGCCAGGCACACAGTGGTCACAGCTCTTGTGAGATGTTTGTCACCCATCTGTATGCCCAGATAAGGAGGGAAATGAGTCAGTCTGTCTGTGCCAAACATGACTAACCTTAATGACTTGGGTTTTGAAAGAAATTAATCCATTTTCAGCACCCTGGAATGGTTTCCCACCTGCTATCAGGCTATTGATTAATGCTGTGGCCATTTAGTAAGCACTGTGATAAAACTGATGAGGAAAGTCCACCCAAGCACCACAGGCATGGTTTAAGCTATCTAAACCCCTCCCAGAGACACCCCAGCTGCAGATGGATGCAAGCACAGACCCTGCTCTTGGGTTACAGCTATCAGTCCAGGGTAAGCAGCAGCCAGGGAAGCCTCGAGGCTGAAATTCCCAAGGTCAGGAACTGCTTCCAGGAATACCATGGCAGTGGGTTAAAACCCTTTTCACATATTTCAGGCAATGCTTTCCCCAGCCCAAGATCTGTCCCTTCCAAAGGAGCAGACAATGCATATCTGATTTGAGCAAACACCAGTGCTGGGATTAATTTAATGCTCCCATCTAAAATTAGCCTGGCTGTTAAAAACTCATTCCTGCAGGCTTTGACCCCAGCATGATAATATTTCTTGATGGCAAAGAGGCTGTCTGAGCAACGACACAGACCCACAGGGTCAGCGCCAGCCTCCTGCAGGGCTCCAGAGCTATTAGCAAGGCTGTTATGAAGCATTCCCAACTTTCCAACACCTTAGGAGACAGGGACAGCAGCTCAGGTTCAGGGAGGAGAGGTAAGTACCTCGACTTGCCTCCTGCTGCAGGTGGTTTTCTTCATTTTTGGGGTGTTGCTGAAATGATTAAACCCCAGAACAGGTCAGCTCAGCCCCAGGGGTGAGAGCTGGACATGAACCTCATTTCACCAGCAATATCAAAGTGTCTATGGAAAAAGTGCAGCTTAACAAGCTGGTCAGGTTCTGCCTCTTTTCCATCAGGGAGGTTTTCATCCAGGAAGAGCCTACCAGGAGAGCCATGTTCCAGGATAAGAGGGGAAACTACCATCCCAGCAACTTCCTACACCACTAATCCCAGTGCAGGGACTCTGGCAGCTGCTTCAAACCTGTTGCTGCAGAGGCACCTTCCCAAGTTTCAGTTAAACCATCCTCTTTCCAAAGGAAACCACAGCTGTGGGTCTCCAAGGGTAAGCCAACAAACCAGCAGCACTGAGCTCTGCTCAGAGCACGTGCTGAGCAGGGCAATAGGGAAAGGAAAAAGCTGCTTACTCTGAGTGTCTTTGCGATCGGGGAAGGAGAGGATGGGGGAGAGTCTGACTGAGCCTTCCTGCTCCGAGTATATTCCTTACTCCTGGTGTACAGGGACGACATGGCTGAGTGTCTTGGAGCAGCAGCACCAGTCCCGCGCTCTGTCGCTCTCCGGCGCTGGGCAGGTCCTTCTTCCAAGGTCAGAACAAACTAATTAAACTATTCACAGCTCTGGTAATTAAACCCTGCTGGTTAGGGTGTATAATTTTAGGCATTAATCTGCTGCAGGGAGAGCTGAGGCTCCACAACGTTTCTTGTCCAAGCAGAAGAAGAGAAGGTGTGAAGGATTCACTGTGCTCCAGCGCTGCTCCGTGCCAGCCTCACTGCCCGGGGCCCGTCCCGGCTTCGCCGCAAAAGGACATCTCCCCTCGTCCAGAGGGATCTGTCTGCCCCCAGAACTAGGGGCAAATCTCCCAGCTCCAGGAGGGCGCTGGGAAACTGGCTGGGTTTCCAGGAACCCTTCAGGAAAGGCAGAGCAAAGGCTGATCTCCTCCGGAGCGCGAGGAGAGCTCTGCCCTCGGCGCGGAGCCACACGCCTTAAGTGAAACACAAAGCATAAATCAGGAACAAACGCTGGTTGGGAAAGGGGCAGTCCAGCTGAAGTTGGGTTTTGTTCCATCCTCCTCCTCCTCCTCCTCCTCCTCCTCCCGGCGCCGTTACCCACGCACAGGCTTCTCCTGTCCCTCCCCGCTGCCTTCTGACATTCCAGATCCTGACTCGCTCCGCCAGGAATGCTGGAGGGCAGCCAGCAGCAGCGATTCACTTTCAGCTTGGGATTTGGGCTGCCAAATTGGATTTGGGATTGGGTTTGGATTTGGGCAGGGAAAAAAGAGAAGAAAAAAAGAGGGGGGAAGCAAATCCCTCCCAAGCCCCCAAGGCCCGTAGGGCTGTGGGTGGGATGTCAGAGGTGAAACGAGATGGCACTTTGCACAGCGAAAATTCGTGGAGACACGTGTGGCTGGGACAAAGGGAGATGATTTAAAGGCCACGGAACAGCTCATGCCATGAAAGGGAGGACACACTCCAGCAGCACAACAGGATTTTTGTTTGCTTATGAGCCTGTTGAGCTGCGAGAAGGCGGTGCAGAGCTTGTGTAATGCACGCGGGTTCAAGGGAGCGTTCGGGATCGCGGAGGAGGGAACGACAGAGGGTGGGGAGAGTATGTACCTCTCCCAGAGTCCCAGCCCTCTGCTGAGCTGGGTTGCTGCTGCTGCACAAGCTCACTGGAAAGTGGCAGGACTGCTCCCTGGGATGGCCAGCATGTGTCCTTCATGTCCCAGTCAAATAAGCCCATGGGATGTTCACTTGAACACACTGGGGGAGTTTAAATAGCTCACAGAATCATACAGAATCACAGATTAGTTGGGGTTGGAAAGGACCTCTGGAAATCACCTAGTCCAACCCCCCTGCCCAGGCAGGGCCAGCTGGAGCAGGTGACACAGGAACATGTCCTGCTCTTATACACTAAGTTCATCCTGCAGTCGTAAGGTTACAGATCTATGGTTTTCATTGCTGGCAAGTTATCTGTACTGGTTCCAGCAAGGCAGTGCTAACAAACCAGTAGCACACCAGAGGATGTGTCCTCAGCTAGACTCACTCACACCCACCTGACCTGAGCACTGACTGAGTTGCTGGTTGCTCAGAGTCACCTGCCAGCAGCATGTCCTGCTCCAGCTCCAAGGCTGCTTAACATCAAACATTTCCTACCAAGGCCAGGTATTTTGGTCAGGTATTGGAATAGGAAATTGCCCAGGGAGATGGTGGAGTCACCAGCCCTGGAGGCGTTTAAGAGGTGTCTGGACCTGGGGCTGGAGGATATGGGTTAGGGTTTAGGGGTTACAGCAGTGACAGGTTAATGGCTGGACTTGATGATCTTTGAATTCTCTTCCAACCTTGATGATTCTGTGACTCTAGAGCGAGGTTGGACAGGGCTTGGAGCAATCTGGGCTAGTGGAAGGTGTACCTGCCCGTGGCAGGAGGTGGAATGAGATGAGACTTAAGGTCATTCCAACCCAAACCAGTCTTTGAAGTGCAGAATAATATCTATGTAAAAGTACTTTCAGAACATTACCCCACATCTGTGTCTCTCTGCTGCTCTCAAATATTGCCCCTTTTTGCATCCAGGTGATTTTATTGGCACATTGTTGAGGAAGGGCCTTGGAATAGCAGCTGCAGGAATTTCTCCTGCCATTCAGCACCTTTACTCTCCAGGGGCAATGCAGCATTGCTGTGTGACCAGAGAGAGGGAGACAGGGCTGCTCTGAGAAAGTCACGGTGAGATCAGGTTTCTACTGGATACTACATCATGAGGAATGAGGGGACTCATCATCCACTAACTGCAGGAGGGGGGGGAAAAGTTTGGAGAGGTTTAATTCTGCCTGGTAATATTTCTGCATTCCCCTTTAAAGATATGGAAATGAAGTCCAGACACACAAGAAGGCAATGACAGGCACCCTGGTGCTCCAGGAGGCTGGAGCAGGTCCTTGATCTCTCCAGCCTTCATCTGTGGCACTCATCACCCACCTCTCCCTGCACAGCGAGGGAATTCAGACATTTTCAATGCACATTTCTAGGCCCTGCACACAGGGGTGATCCTTTCACACCAGTCCCAGTTTCTGGGGTTTCCAAACAGTGTCAGTGAAACTGGGTGAACCCGTGTGGCCAGCAGCACCCTGCAGTGACACAATCCTGGCTCCCAGGCTGACAAGGCCCAGTTTAGTCACCAAGGTGGAGTAACAGAGCTCTAAATTGCAGGGTTTGGTTTCCCCTCCCATCCAGTCCCAAACAATCTGCTGTCACATCCCTTCACGGTCACGTTTCTGCTGAGGGGCAGGAAACCTCCAAAATCAATGTTTCAGAACAGAACTCAGAGCCCAACACCAAAAGACAACCTGAGATATTCCCTACTAATTAAAAGCTAATTATTCACACAGCACAGATGCCTCACAGATTGACTAACACAGCTTGGTGGACAGTAACTCATTTTGGAGAGAAGGGGAGGCATGAGCTAGTGCCCTGATTAGGCAGGAGAGAGAGAGCAGCACGAGATGCAATATGGCAAAACCCACTGGGTTTCAGCATTATTGCAACAAAGGTGCCTGATTTAGGGGTTTCTTCCTGCCTTTCTGCACAGTTTACTTTCAGGTTGTCCCTGTGGAAGTATGAAACACGATTCCTTTGCAGTGCTGCTCCTCACAGCCTGAGCCTCCTTGTGTTCAAGGTCGTGGTTTAGATGCGACTGTTT